TAATGGATAATAGTGTTTTCTCTGAATGTTTATGGTTTTTATTATTTCTAAATTGGTGTTTACGCAAGTGGAGTTAACAGCATTGTATGTGTCAGTTTGATGATGAGTAAATTTCCTTTCTACACTGTCACCGTAACACTGACCACATTGCTTGTTTTCTACTAATTCTCTTCCTATCTTCTTCAACCTTTTTAGAATACAAATATTATTTTTAAACTTTGGAGGATTTTGCCCAAATCTCCCTTGGTTTCCGTGTGGGTTTAGCTCAAATACAGATTTTGATCGATTTTCCACCTTAAAAAAATCAATAACAGTCCCTTAAGGCAAGCATTGTTTTGCAGATTAAAAAATCAGTATTTGGTTTCAAATATTTTTTAAGGTATCTGTATAAACTGTTATTCTTGAATAATGTACTTCTTAGATTCTATTTGTTGCTTTGCAAATTATGTTAAAAAGAAAACCTGAAAAGGAAATTTAGAACCAGAGGTAATTTATCATTTGCTCACAGGAAAATGCTTAGAGAGATAGCTAGTGGAACTTGATAACAAAGATCTTTGGAGAAGAGATGTTGAGCTACAACTCTGCCATCAGACCAAGTAAATGTTTGTAGAAGATCAGTCACTGATGCAAGCGACTACACGGCCGGCATGCCCCAACTTAACATTCAGCAACAGAAGCTGCTCCAGAGCTGTTTTTTTATTAGGAAAGCAGCGTCCAAGCAGCATCCATTTTGGCACATGACCATGGGATGCTGTTCCAAATGTACCCGACTAGCAGGAAGGTAGTCATCAGCCAAGCACAACTCTGAGTAGCCAGCCAGATGGCATTACTTAATGACATTTTGCTGGGCAAGAAACTGCAGATCTTGTAGACTTCTGCCAAGAACATTTTCTAACCTGGCAAACCCTGTGGGCAGTTAACCAGGCAGACAGTTCTTAAGTGAGAAGAAGTTTATGGGAGCTTCTTTTAAAGAGGCAGCTAGAGAAGCAGTTTGTGAGCCACCACTTAGAAGATACTCAGGAAGGAATCCATGATAGCAGACAATAGTTGGTAGTCCACTATAGAGACAGTGTTAAACCTCACACAGAGTATAACTGTCATTCTCAGACACTGTTGTGATGTGACTGATAATTCTGAATTGTCAGCTGAGACTGACTGCTAGGTGAATACCTTTGAACAGTCAACATGGCAGACAATTAACATGAAACTTGACAATAAAGAAACTATGAGCAAGTCAGGGAAAGATCTTCCAGCTACGTAGATTTTGTTTCTCAAAAGATGGTCCCCAGGGTTAATGCAAGAAGTACAGATACAAATTAAAAAATATTTCAGTTGGCAGCTGGATGGATGACTCTCACTATGTTTTGTCAGCACGCCATGGAAAGTGTTGCAATCTGCTCTAGTTTGTGCCTCAGGTGAGGAAGCATAAACAATAAATATCAGTGTATTAAGTTGGTGAGAATAATCAAAATATGTTTAATTTTTTGCTGAAGAGCAAGAGAAAAAGGGCTGTGATTTGCTGCAACATTTTTTGTACGGTGAAGAACAGGATTTTAGATAGTACAAGGTATACTAGAACGAAGCCTCTTAAGCTACCTAGATCTGTGAGGTGATAGCCTAGTGGGTAGAAGGTGTTCTAGTCTTACAGGGCTAAAGGTTAGACACCTATTGGTGGAGAGGTCAAGTGATATGCCCTTGGTTAGGCCAAGTAGGATGCATTCAGCCTTTGTCAGGAATGGATATCTGTCTCCTGCCTCTCCAGCAGGTCAAGCCTAACATCCCAGTATTACTTCCCAAAGACTGCTGGTTCCTTCATACTTTCAGTATTTGCTAGTATTGTATTGAGACTAGTACCATGAAGTGAAGATCCTCAGGTTGCTGGGGATGTGGAAATGTTACATTGGCCGAGAACACCACTAGAAGGAAGTGGAAGAGAATATCTTAGAAGAGAGAAATTTGGCAAAAACTCAACAGCAATTTCAATCAGGTTAATGCATAGAGGGGGTAGGATGTATGGAGTTGAAGGAAAAGCAGACCTATCAGAAAAGCATGTGGATAAATTCGAGGAAGTCTTCCTCCAAGGGTTTGTGTATCATAATTGATTCAGAAGGCTAAGAATACAACAAATACTGAGGAAAGATAGAAGGGGAAGCCATGATATGCCACCTAGTTAGTAAAATTTGTACTAGGAAAAGGAGCTGATTAAGTCTGTATGCATTAAGGTTCCACTTCTATATCAAGAATATTCTGGTTATTTTTGTGGTATAGCCATTGTTTTCATTATAAATCTTTTACCAGCACAGACAAAACTGTTGCAAAAATACTTCTCTCTTGCAGAAGCAGCCCAGACTTCGATAAAGCAGCCCAAATCACTACCGCTGCTAGAAAGAATCGCAACTTTGGGAATCTCATATTTACACATACCTCCGAAACATAGGATATTTTATTTCATTTTTGTGGTGTTGTTTATGTCCTTTATGGGAGATAGTGTAGAGATACCCCACCTACTACTTTTGACTGGCAAGAAAAGTACTCTTAATCAGGTGAGTGTTTAAGATGTAGAATTTATTGAAAATTTTGGGATAATACTTTCTTGTTTGTATTTGTTTTTAGTTTTAATCAACTGACATACCTCTGGCTGTAGTTGTGGTTGGATGGGTTGTGTTTTCATTCATGTTTTTTTCAAAATATGTGGAAGCTGCAAAAGCTTATAGCTGAAAAAAGATTCTTCCATCATTTCCTACAGGTTTTTGTGAAACTTGGATGGGCATGGACTTTCAGCAGCTTTGGCATCTTCAATCTTCTATCTCTGCTAATCCACAAAGATTGGATCAAAAGGATGAAGTGCTTTGCTGTGCGTCTAGCTGTCACAACGTTCTTTTTTTACTTATGGTGCACGGTATGTATTGTTGTGTTTTTCTCTTTATTCTCACGAAAATATTCAGTAAACAATACCATTCACTGTGGAAGAATGTTTGGGTTATACCATTAAGCTTGTTAGTACTGCATAATCATTAAGAATTATGTCTTTTCTTACATTTGTTAATAGAATTTATATAATAATAAGCTATGCCAATCAGACTCTGCCACAAGTACTGATTAAGACAGTTCGCAAGGTTTTTTCATCATTTTTAAAGATATTTCAAAGTTAATCCTTATGTGTATTAGCCAATTTAGGGAATGGCTTTCAGTCATCTTAGCAGTACGAGATTCTTCTAACATTAGAATTTGTAATCATATAGTATAGATTTTCCTATAAAAAGTACTTATGCTTTTCTAGATTGATTTATTATGTATGTTAGAAGCTACTTCTATATTACTATTTTTTGTGTGTCCTTTATTTGACGTTCAGAAATCATATCCTAAAAAATTTAATTGGGTTAATATCTCTCATCATATAAAGATATGAATTACTTGTATACATTACAAATGTATATTATATACAATTATCTCTCCACAGGTCACCTTTCCTACCATTGAGAGGTATACTGGCTCCTGTGTCCACAAAGGTATATCATTGAACTTCACCAAACGAGAATGCGTAAAACGACCAGAGCACGAGTATATCTCCTTCGATATCTCCGGCCATTCCTTCCTGCTGATCTACTGCATTATGATCATAATGGAAGAGAGCAAAGATATATTATACTTCCTTCAGCTCAGCAGACATTTCCGAGGAGCTCCTACCATAGAGGGAAAGGAAGCTCCAGGGAAGGAGGTGAAGAACCTAGAAAAAGTATTTAAGATAATGTCTCCATTGATCATCCTGGCTCTTCTCTCCATGGTGGCACTTTCTCTGCTCTGGGATTTTATGTTGATTATAACAACTATTTATTACCATTCATTGTCGGAAAAGTTACTCGGCACAGTTCTTTCTCTTGGCATGTGGTATATTTTGTACAAGAGGATCTTTATTGTTTTACATGAAATATTGTAGTAAAGTGTAGATAGAAAACATATAAAGAGTACAAGAAGAAATTTTAAATTTTGCAATCTTTGAATTAGCAATTTTCTCTTTTGGTTATATCCATCTTTGTCATTGGGTATGCTTAGGGACTAGTAAATTTTAACAAAAAATGTATATATTTATTTGTATATATTGTGTGGACACATTTTCATTCGTAAGTATGATAAATCATACTATGATAATCAGAAAAGTATCTATGTAAAATTAAGTTTTTTCTTTATTTCATTGGTACATCAATGTATTTTTTCATTCTGTTCTAAGATGACTCAATTTGTTAACTTATTTATTTAATGAGGATGCTATGCAATTATTCTGTAAGCCTTTTGTAAAACCGAGAAGAAATATATTTTTAGCTTTAATACATATAGCGCTCAAATAAAATATAATAATTTTCTCATAAATTTCATTGGCATTTAGTCTCATTTCTGTGAATAAACATGATTCTTATTTCAGTCAACAGGTGACAGAGAACAGCTTCATCTACCACCAACTATACAAATAAACAGAGACAGAGACAGAGACAGAGACAGAGAAAGAGACATAGAGAGAGAGAGAAAGAGACATAGAGAGAGAGAGAAAGAGACATAGAGAGAGAGAGAGGGAGAGAGAGAGAGACAGAGAGAGAAAGAGATACAAAAGCTTACATCTTGCAACTTGCCAATTCAAGAAAGCCTCATCAGCAAACCAGTAAAGGATGAAAGGTATAAATCAGCCAAGGCAACCGTCCAGGCATCCTAGAATATCTGAAGTCCTAAATTTACCAGGTTCCAGATAGCTGCAGTTAGGACAAAAAAAGAAAAGCAATTGATCATGCACATTCATCAGCAAGTGATCCTCATCTGGCCAAACACCAAACTCCACATCCCACCCATAGGGCACTAGTCAAACATTTTGAACAAATACCCATCAACATACATACAATAACTGATGTTGAACCAGCACAATCCCAAGCCAAGTCTATATAGATATAAATTATACGGAATTTGTCCTAACTCAGCTTCCCTATCCATTCTTCGAACTACAGTACACAGAC